CTGGAAGCCCTCCAAGTTCCAGCGTGAGTGCCGTTGAGAGTCTGGGCGTCCAGTGCACACAGGGGAGATGGCCACTGCCTCCGCTCCAGCCCCAGCCGTAGTGCACAGGGCAAGGCTGTCTGGGTGAAGGCTGTTTGTGAGTGAGGCAGCGGGATGAGGGGCAGTTGGCTGCTGCTCTGGAGGCCCGGGCGGCCTTGGTGTCTGGGCGCCTCCGCCAGAACGCTGGCGGGTCGGGCCCTCATGGCCCTGGCTGATCTTGACTTACGGCAGCTGCAGCGAAGTCTCCCACGGGTCTTCCATCCTGCAGGGATTCGGGCATGACTGGGGGTCAGGGGAATCTGATGGACAGCCCTGCTGCATGAGTTGAGGCTGGAGCGCTCCTGCAGGAGACTGAGAGCCCAGCCCTGTCCATAAGGAGGGGAAGTCTGACCACTCGCTGTAGCTGTGCCACCTACTCAGCTGCAGCCTGGAGGGAGTGCCCAGCCCCAGGGAAGGCAGAAAGCCCTTCACAAACCCTGGCGCTACGGCCGCCTGGTGGGCTGATGGGCAGCCCTGTCCCCATCCCTCTGTGCCTCTCGGGCAAGGCTTGCGTAGGTGTCCTCTGCAGGTGCCCCCACACCCTGCCATGCATCCCTATCTCCTAGAGAAAGGCGGGGGCCCCACCCGCCCCGTGCAGCTCGTCAGGCTCCTCCTGCGCTCCTTCTCTTTAGTGCTGAGCATGGGAGGCAGGCGGGGATGCAAAGGTCTGAGCCTTTCAGAAGCACCCATCATTGTCTGGTTTTCAAGTCAACTCCGATTTTCACATCCCTGGTGATTACTTTGTTTTAAAAGGTAACCTCCTGTTTTGGAGGGTGAACTAAAAATAGAACCCTGAATCCCGCCCCCCACACCGACTGAACGGCCCCTTCTTGGTCAAGGAGACCCAGAGAAACCTGAAAAGCTGAGTTCCAGGCCCTAACAGGAAGGGGGGTCAGACACGCCTCATCACACTCCCTCCCTTTCGGAGTTCAGACACAACTGACCAGCAGGAATGTTAAAACAGAGATCTTAAGACGGACAGAGCAGATTCTTGGTGGCGATAAGGTACCAAATTATAACAGGACCTGAGGCCGCACCTGTAGGCTACGGATCCTGCTAGACAACACCCTTATCTTTTTTTTTTTTTTTTTTTTTTTGAGACGGAGTCTCGCTCTGTCGCCCAGGCTGGAGTGCAGTGGCCGGATCTCAGCTCACTGCAAGCTCCGCCTCCCGGGTTTATGCCATTCTCCTGCCTCAGCCTCCCGAGTAGCTGGGACTACAGGCGCCCGCCACCTCGCCCAGCTAATTTTTGTACTTTTTAGTAGAGACGGGGTTTCACCAACAACACCCTTATCTTAACCTAAACGTGCCAAGTTTTAGACAGAGCCTTGCTCCTCTCATTAACAGGAACTCAGAGTCTCTGGATCCACCTACATCCTGTAAGTACCCTTCAAGATGTCCCACCTCCACAGGCCGAGCCAGCCTGGACCTGCCATGCATGGCTGTATGTCTTTGCCTGTAACTCCTGCCTCCCTGAGACGTCAAAACCAAACTGCAATCCCATCTCCTCGGGCGCACGTTCTCAGGATTCGCTGGGACTGTGTCTGTCTGGCTGTGTCACTCATTGGCTCAGAAGAAACCTCTTCAAAATATTTTAGAGTTTGGTTTTTCCATCAACAGAGAAAAGACTTGGAAAATGCAGGGAAGGCTTGATGTATTTCAGGTCGTGGGCAGAATGCTTGTCACAGACGCACCCACCGTAAGTCTGCGCAGCTGCGTGGAAGGAGTTGGTGCCTGACGCTGGCTGTGACCCGACCCCGAAGGGCCACTCAGGCAGCACAGGCTGGTTATTAAGGCATCACGCCACCGCCCCCAAAGCAAAAGGGATGTCTGCAGGACTGTGGTGCTTTTTGTCTCAGTATTCATCAGCCTGGAAATAGAAATGTGTTCCTGTCAGGGGGGAGCCCTCCCCATTGGAAGTGGGTGTCTGGGGTTGTGTTCCTGTCGGGGGAGCCCTCCCCGTTGGAAGTGGGTGTCTGGGGCTGTGTTTCTGTCGGGGGGGGGAGCCCTCCCCATTAGAAGTGGGTTTCTGAGGTTGTGTTCCTATCGTGGGGGAGCCCTCCCCATTGGAAGTGGGTGTCTGGGGCTGTGTTCCTGTCGGGGGGAGCCCTCCCCGTTGGAAGTGGGTGTCTGGGGCTGTGTTCCTGTCGGGGGAAGCCCTCCCCGTTGGAAGTGGGTGTCTGGGGTTGTGTTCCTGTCGGGGGGGAGCCCTCCCCGGTGGAAGTGGGTTTCTGAGGTTGTGTTTCTGTGGGCGGGGGAGCCCTCCCCGTTGGAAGTGGGTTTCTGGGGTTGTGTTCCTGTTGGGGTGAGCCCTCCCCGTTGGAAGTGGGTTTCTGGGGTTTGCTGTGGGAAGCAGAGCTTGCGTCCATGCTCACAGCAGCACCGGCCATGATCAGTCACTGAGACCTGTGCTGGGGGTGGAAGATGACAGTGGGGCCACATGTTCCTCAATCTGGACTAGAGGTTTGTCTGTGATGAGCAGACACCGGCCTGCCAAGAGCCAAGGGTGCTGTGTTTGCATGTGCAGCAGGGCTCCCGTACGGCGCTGGGGCAGACGCCAGCCAGGCGGGGCAGGCAGGCTCTGCGGCTTCCTGCATGGGTCAGAGTCCACAGCACGGGGTCCGGTCCCTGGGCAAGCCCGACAGACATCTGTGAACCAGGAACGGTCATTCCAGGGTCTGGCGCAAAGCAAAGGCATCGTAGACTTTGGCAGCTGCATTTGTTCCAGATAACACTTTTTCTTAGGACCTAAGGCCTCAGAACTTAAAATGAATGTTGTAAAGTTCGAAGCCAAAACAAAATGCAGACAGGCTGTGCCAGCAATTCCTGACTCTGCAGTCTGGGCCTAATTCAAATACTCATTTCCACGGTCGAAACCCTCCTACAGGAGTTAACCCTGTGGTCCAGTGCTCGGCACCGTCCTCACCTGCGTTCGGTGGTCCAGTGCTCAGCACCGTTCACACCTGCGTTCGGTGGTCCAGTGCTCGGCACCGTTCACACCTGCGTTCAGGGACAGAAGCCACTCTGGGGACTATGAAGGAAACATTCAAAGGAATTGAGCTTAAAATAAACAGAAATTGGGTGTATTTCACACCCACTAGCAACATGATTTTGGAAAGCAAGAGGCTGCCAACAGCACGTTGGGAAGGACGTGGAGGGGCTGGAACTCTCATTCCCCGCGGCTGGGAGTGCAAAACGGAACAGCCACTCTCCCGACAGTGCCCAGCAACCACGCTCCTGGGTATTTCTCTAAGAGAAATAAAAATCGTGTCTGTAAAAGAATGTTTATCAGCCTTATTCACAATATCTCCAAACCCCAATTGCATCAAATGTCCGACGGCAGGAGGATGGACGAGAACTAGTGGCCCTTCATAGGACAGGCTAATTCTCAGCATGTGGGAGCACTCGTGTGTGGAAGGAAGGCCAGGCGTGTGACACGTGTGAGCGTAGCGTGGGCAGGATGCACGTGTGGGCAGTGACTGCTTCAAGGACAAACCCTAGGGACTGGGTGGGTCCTTGGAGCAACAGGTCTGGGTGAGCCTTAGTGGAATCCTCTGTGGCCTGTAGAGGGGTCTCTGCCCTCATCACACCCAAGGAGACCAGGAAACCACACGGGTGCAGGTTTTCCTGAGTTCTCTAGTGCAGGACTTCAGATTGGAAAGAAACTCTCAGCCTGGCTGCCTCACAGTACTGAGGAGGCCACAGGCCCAGGAAGGGCCTCACCGTGGGGCCCCACGCGGCAGGCTCCTGGTGACCTGCGTCCCAGTACCTGGTCTGGTTTATTTTCCCAGACTCTGGAAGGTCCCCGCTGTCTGCAAGGGGGCCCAGTCCTGCCAGGGGAAACCCCCCAAATCCGAAGGCAAGGGAACAGCCAGGAGAGGGAACCTGCTGTCCACGCTGCAGAAAGGCCCACAGTTATCCCGTCTTCACAAGATGCCTGACCGCGGCTGCGTCACCTGAAATCTTTCCAAAGCACCCTCAGCACACGAGGGCACTTCTCCCTGTATTTTGGTATCAACTCATTTCCCCTACCCTGCCTCAGTCCGATTGCTTCTTTGTGAGCTTTGCTTAGAGAATCTTCTCCTGAAGTCTGTCGAGGAACCTGGAGTGCCCTCAGACACTGTGTTCACACTGTACGTGCAGACACATGCAGCCCCTCGGCCGCCCAGGCAGGCCCAGCAAGTCAGAGGCCTGAGGAAAGAACCAGCGACCCCGAGACACTCTTGCTGGCCAGAGTTGCCTGAGTGCTGTGGTCAGGCCACACACAGAGACCGGTGCTGCAGCCTCTGGAGGGAAGGCTTCACTCTTCACCCAAAGCAGCCACGCAGTGGGACTCACCTGGGCTGGTCGGACCCAGCACAAAACTAGTGACAAAGAAATGCAGAAACTCAAAAGAAACCTAGAATGAACTAAAACCAAAATGGGGAACAAGTGGAAATATTAACTACTCGGTATGTAAAATTGGTTTTCACACTTTTTTTTTTTTTTTTTTTTTTGAGACGGAGTCTCGCTCTGTCGCCCAGGCTGGAGTGCAGTGGCCGGATCTCAGCTCACTGCAAGCTCCGCCTCCCAGGTTTACGCCATTCTCCTGCCTCCGCCTCCCGAGTAGCTGGGACTACAGGCGCCTGCCACCTCGCCCGGCTAGTTTTTTGTATTTTTAGTAGAGACGGGGTTTCACCGTGTTAGTCAGGATGGTCTCGATCTCCTGACCTCGTGATCCACCCGTCTCGACCTCCCAAAGTGCTGGGATTACAGGCTTGAGCCACCGCGCCCGGCCCACACTTTTCAATGTTTCACACATGGCACTGCCTATTACCCAGGCCCCTACTCGGCCCCTCCCTGGCCTGCTGTCTGCGTCATTCCCTCCCCTCAGCCTGCTTTTCCTCCAAAGCTCTAGCTAACACCTGAAATCACAGCATGGATTTGCTTATTGATTTATTGGGCTACCCATCGTACACACCAGCTGCAAGAGGGCAGGGTCGAAGCCTGTCTCGTCACAGGGCCCCTGGTGGAGCTGAACAAGTCATACCCTGCCGAGCGGAGCACTTTGCTCACCAGCCGCCTGGAGGGGCACACATTTCCCACCCCATTCACCCAGGGGAGGCCTTTCTCCATTGTGTGCAGAGGTTCTGTGAGCTGGAGGCAGTCACGGGCCGGTCACACGGATGGTGGCTCACGGTGGGTGCTCATCCCTTCACATTCAGGAGAGACGGACTGCCCGTGAGACATTCTCGCAGGTGCTCTGGCATACACGCCATGGCTGGACCTGGCCTCAAGTGGCTCATCATCCTTCAGGGGATACAAATTGGATACACAAATAATTCTAATTCAAAATAAAGCCCAAGCGCAGGAATTCTGGAATATCATCATACTTGTTTCTAGAGTTATTTTAGAAAAGCTCATATTGTGGGATTTGGAGGAAAAGTCATCATTATATTCTCAGTAGACCAATTTGGGGGGCAAACTGGAGTCCTTTTGTAACACTGGTTTGGATACAGGAATTTGAATTTAAAGAATAAGCAACAGTTCTGATTTTCGTTCCATATAGGTACAGGAAAAGCAGGGAGGTAGAAAGTCCTCTCTCCCAAACCCTGCATGATTCACACGGCAGAGTTCTGCAACTCTCGTACAAGGGAGATTTCATGATGATTCAGTAACAGATCAGAGGATCAACGACTGACTTCACTGAGGCACGGTGATGAAAAGGTCAGGGTGGTCTGGTCTGAGTGAAGTCACAGCGAGAACGCCTGCTCAGGGCCATTCTCATTGGGGACAGCCCCTTCCCTGGATGGTTCCCAGGTACTGCACTTTCCTGCCTTGCTTCTTGCTGAAGCCATTATTTCTTAATTCCCTGGGAGATATGCAGAGTGGACATCCCAAAGAAGCTAGAAACACTGACGAGCAGGGGACAGATCAAATCCTCTCCATCAGAGGAAGGCAATTCACGAGGAAAGAAGGCAAGACCATGGGGTAATTTTTTTGAGACTTGACAATGTTTGCCAAGTAAATAAATCTGCCTTAACACTACGATTAAAACTGTCATCCCCAGGATATCAGTGACTACTTGAGGTTTGAGGACAATGAAGACACAGTAAGATAAACATCCTTACTATCCAGAAAAGAAACAGAACCAGAAGACAGCCCTTCTTACTATCCAGAAAAGAAATGGAACCAGAAGACCGCCATTCTTACTATTCAGAAAAGAAACGGAACCAGAAGACAGCCCTTCTTACTATCCAGAAAAGAAACAGAACCAGAAGACAGCCCTTCTTACTATCCAGAAAAGAAACGGAACCAGAAGACAGCCCTTCTTACTATCCAGAAAAGAAACGGAACCGCAAGACAGCCCTTCTTACTATCCAGAAAAGAAACGGAACCAGAAAACAGCCCTTCTTACTGTCCAGAAAAGGAACCGCAAGACAGCCCTTCTTACTTTTCTCCATCTTCATGGTGAGGAAGAGTAAAAAAAAGTTGCTTTTAAAGTATATTCATTAAAATCGAATTCTATTATAATACACACAAAATGTTTACGTGAAACCGGCCACAAAAGAATGACGAGGAACGCTACTGATCTGTCCATTCTGGGCGATAAGAACACACGTTCTTATCTTACTCTTGTTAAAAGAAAACTTCAGCTGAATTAAATGTAAAGGCGTTTAATTGAGCAATGAATGATTTGTAAATCGGGCAGCCCCCAGAATTACAGCAGATTCAGCGAGACTCCAGTGCAGCCACGTGGTGGAAGATTTATAGACAAAGAAAGGGAAGGGAGGTACAGAAGCACCTGGATCGGATACAGGTTGGCATGTGCCTCATTTAAACACAGTTTGAACATTGAGCAGTGTGTGAGTGACTGAAGTATGGCTGCTGGGACTGGCCAAGACTCAGCGATTGTGACAGGTGCGTATTCCTAATTTAGGTTTTCAATCTTGTCTGCCTTTTAAGTTAGCCTCAGTTTGTCCACAAGGACTCCAATACAGAAGTACGGAGTCCTTCTCGGGCCATATTTAGTTCGCTTTAACAATTCCCCCTTTTTGGTCATTTTCTCAGTTTTGAGAGATCGACCATAACGTGAGTTATTGATGTCACTATCACCATTGGTCTTGAAACTCACTAGGAAGCAGCAGAACAGTGAGTTTTGCAAAGGTAGGAACAAGGACTGAGTGGAGGATACCACCTTATGCTGGAAAGTCCTGTTTGCAACAGAAAAACAAAACCTGGTCTGTTCTAGGACCCACGTGTTTCCTTAAAGTCTTAATTAAATTATGTCACATTTAGCACGAATGACGCCATTTTGGTTTGGTTTGCTGGGACCTAGTGCTCAGTCCGAAACAATGGCCTCCCACCATTTTGTTTTAAAAATTCCCCCCTTTTGGTCAGGTTCTCACTTAGGCAAGAGAGTGACCAAAACTTAGGTCATCAGCGCCACTCTCCGTTACTATCATTTTGGGTTTCCGGTCTCAGCATGTCACTCACGGGTTATGGTGTCCTCGTGGTCACACATTTCTTTCAGCTCTTGTCATTCCAGTGGAAGAGACACCATTTGACATTCTAAAGATGGCTTCACACTAACATTTAAAACCTTTGAGAGAATCCAGTGCACCAGGGAGACCATTATTATGACTACTGAGAGGGCAACACCAAGGATTTGGAGGATGCTCCTTACCCAGGGTCCCCGTAAACCAAACCACCTCAACTCAAATAGACCAATGAATGAGCTAGATAAAGCTCATTCTTTGACTTAACTCAGTGATCTTTTCGTTAATTCCCTACAACAGAATCTCTGTAATACCTGATGTTTTCTCCATAGGTCCTAAGTGCCAGCAGCTGCACAGATACTTTCCTGTTTCGCCAATTCTATTATTTAGCGTAACTTTCACAAGAGAATTTAACATCTGTTGTGTAGCCGCTGCAGTAGAATCTGCTACAGAGTCTATCTTGAGGGACACGTTTCTAGTCATTGCCTTTTGTGTTCCAAACCATGGAAAAAGGACCTAACAAATGATGCCCTTCTAGAAGAGGGAAGGCCTCCCGGCAATGTTCTCTTTAACCCATGGCGTGGGTTAAGAGGAGCGGACCAATGTTCTGTTTCTGAATGATTCAATGTTCTCTGTAACCCATGGCGTGGGTTAAGAGGAGCGGACCAATGTTCTGTTTCTGAATGATTATGAGGCACTGTATGTACCATTTAAGTTTCTCACCTATGACACATTGGGCCTTCATCTTTTATCTATCAAGTTATAAGATTATCCATGTATAAAGCTGGCTGCAAAATCCTTCACAAATAAAAGCATAACCCATAGGTGCACACAACAGACACCCTTCTCACTTCTATTGTTCTCATGACAGTAAGAAGTCTTGATCCATGACCTTCGGAAAGAGCTGCTCACATCGAGGATGCCATCTTCTTCTGGGAGAAACTTCCCTGGTTAACTCTACCTTAATGGTTTCAATGGATGTACAGTTCCAAGAGTGTGGAGCGACCCTGCTCAGTTGTGAGATTATGACCCCAAGTTTCAAGATCCTGAGGTTTTGTTGCAGTGTGGATGCCAAGGGCAGTTTTTCTGATGTTCTCAGAAGATCCCATCTTTGGGTTCTAGACTGTAAAGGGGTTGATTGTCCTCAGTGAACCATAAAAAGCTCTTTATGCTGAGCACGGTGGCTCAGGCCTGTAATCCCAGCACTTTCGGAGGCCGAGGCGGGTGGATCACGAGGTCGGGAGATGAAGACCATCCTGGCTAACACGGTGAAATCCCGTCTCTACTAAAATTACAAAAAATTAGCTGGGTGTGGTGGCAGGCACCTGTACTCCCATCTACTCAGGAGGCTGAGGCAGAAGAATGGTGTGAAACTGGGAGGCAGACCTTGCAGTGAGCTGAGATCATGCCACTGCACCCCAGCCTGGGCAAGAGAGCGAGACTCTTAAAAAAAAAAAAAAAAGCTCTTTACCTGGTGAAATACACTGAAGCATGGGAAAGCTTTCATACAACCAGAACACATACATTTAAAATGACAACTGAACGAAATCCCTTTATAAATGTTTAAATGGCTCACCAGGTAGCCAAATGTACATGAAGCTTTGTCTTCCCAGGAATACGGGTTTGACAAACTAAACATTGGTTATAAACTATTTTAACCATTTATAAGTCACCACACCAATGCATTTAATTTGGATCATTTTATCTTTTCCAGGATGAGTCATGGAATGCATAACTTCTAATAACAAAAGCTTTAAGGACTCAGGAAGGACAAGGTGGCCGTTCTGGTTCTCCATGAGTCCATGACTAACATCAGACTTATGTGCTCTTGGGTGCCAGCTGTTTCTCCAAATTGGGTGCATACCGTGGATAACTGATGGGTTACCACAGGTAATTTGACTTAGACCACGGAGTTCACTCAAATTGTATATCTAAACAACTTCAGTATTGGCTGATTTAGTATGCAAACCTGGTGAAGTATTTCCTCGGTATTCAATTAACTTTTATTCTATTTGGGTTAGCAGTTTTATAAGCCAGTCAGTCTTTTCATTAAAGTTTCAGCAATTCTCACCCAGTCCAAATGATGGGATTCTGAAGTTATTAGAAACCTGTATTCAACAGTGCTTTTCAGGGTCCTTCCCATCCTTTCATGAACCTCCTAAAAGACACCATGTTCTAGGATTTCGTGTGCTTGTGAAATTTTCAGAAACTGTATCAGCATGAAGCAATTAACTGTGGAAATGACTGTAAATACTCATAAAGACACACTTGACAAGGAAATTTGGTTATTTCTGTGGTTCACAATAACAACTTAATAACCATAATTACGATTGGTAGCATATACTCAGACAAATTAGAATTTTAGAAATCTCATACAACTTTGGAATATATATTAATATCAGTCACTAAAATATAACCTGAAGAAGGTTAAACTTTTTTTTTTTTTTTTTTGACACTCTTCTGTTTCAAAAAGTGCAAACTGTTTCTTAAAAAGTAAAAAAACACTGGAGTAATTAAAGGACACTTTCTGTGCAGGGGATGGAAATCTCAACAAAAAAAGAGGCGCAGAAGGGCGTGGCCAGGCGGGAGGACATGGCCAGGCCCCCAAGCGACGCGAGGGCACCTGCCAGAAAGAGACCCGCAGGCCCAGCCGTTGAGACGCGGGGGAGGAGCGCAGGGCGGCCCACGACACGCCGGGGAGGAGCGCAGGGCGGCCCACGAGACGCGGGAGAGGAGCGCAGGGAAGCCCTACGGACTCGGCGGCCATTGCCCCGCCTGCGTCTGCACCTGCGCCGGCGCCTCCTCCGCACCGCGCTTGCGCCGAGTCCGGCCGCCTCCACATTGCGCCGGCGGGGGGCTTCCTCCACACCGCGCCTGCGCCGATGACAACCCGCCTCTGCAGCACGCCTGCGCAACGCCCCAGTCACCTCATCTGCTCCGTGCACATGGGAGTCTCTCTCTGGTCGACCACGTGTTCCTGTCGGCTCCCAGAGGCCGCCTCGAGGTCCTCCCCCAACGGCTTCCTCACACGCTCCGCTGTTCCCGGCGCTTCACTCCGCGCGTGCGCAGGAGTCGCTCGCTCCTCTCTGCGCCTGCGCAGAGGCCCCCTCCTCCCCCGCCCGTCCGCTGCCTTGACGCCGTCTTGGGCCTGGCGTCTACCCCTTCTGTTTACGCATGCGCAGGACCCTACGCATGCGCAGGACCCGCCCTGCGCGGGTGCGGGGCTGAGCACCCGTGGCCTTAGGTTTAAAGGCGCGCGAACCACCCACGCAGGGACAAGGGCTCTTAGTCGTTTTATGTTTAGCGTAAGGTTTTCCTCTTTAGCAAGTAAAAAAAAAGAGCAAGTTGTGCAATAAATAGTAACCGTCCTTATATGTACTCGGGAAGGTTCGTCCTTTAGGTTTTCTCCCGGCGCGTGGGCACCGCCGGTCATCTCGGGGCTCCCTGCCTGGCCTCGGCGGGGACGCGGGACCTGGGCCCCCCCCTGGACCGGGCCTGACCGCCCTGGCCGGTCCCCACTGGCGTTCCTGAGGGCAGCGAGCAGGCTGGACTCGGGCTGTGCAGGGGGAGGGAGCAGGACGAGGGCTCCCGGAGAGCGGCCTGGAGAGCGCGCTTCGGAGGGCGCGGGCACCCCTGCCCCTTGCAGATGGGGACGCAGGCCCTGGGGGCCGTGGAGGGGAGAAGGGGACAGGGACGCTGGGGCAGAGGAAGCTGAGTGTGAACTTGGCCCCCTTTTCTCCTCCCTGGGCCCTCGGGCTCCACAGGGCAGCCTCCGAGGCCCACGTGCACGCTAGGTGACCCACAGTCCAGACACTGGCAGGCCGGGGACTAGGAGAGGCCAGGTGTTGGCCTGGGGGTGCTAAGTGGAACCCGGACTAGGAGAGGCCAGGTGTGGGTGCATGGAGAGGCAAGGTGTTGGCCTGGGGGTGCTAAGTGGAACCCCAAGTTCGCGGAGACCGCAGGGCAACAGCAAAACGAGTTATTCGGTCCAGGGCGGGGGCCTAGACTCCTCCCCAGGGACGGGCGGCAGAGAAGCCCCTGTCCAGGCCCTGCTCACCTGCAAAGTGCTCCCGGGCTGCTGTGCTCCCACCAGCAGTCCCGGCCCCGGTGACACCCACGCCTGTCACCCGCTGGGTTTCTTGAGGTCTGAGGACTGTGGCTGAGGGTGCATGGGCGCTGGGATGAAGGGTAATGTCCTGTCCCAGACTGCACTTGTTCAAGAGGGCAAGGCCGCCTTTATTCAAGGGGGGCTTCTAAAGCGAGATGTTGGGTTAGGAGAGGCAGATCCAGCTCAACTCCAAATGGAAAAAGTGGGACTTGACATCCCAGGCGTAGGGTCGGGGGATGGAGAGAAAATTACTAAGAGGAAGGGTCAGAGGCAAGGCGGGTTCTGGCTGCATAGACAGGAGTTTTGCCGAAGGCAGGCAGCGTGGTCACAGACCATGGGTGGGAGTTGAGGACTTTGATCAGGGACCAAGGGTAGGGGATTTTCACTAAACCAACTCAGCAGGATTCTTGCTAAATCGGCCTAAACCGGCCAAGGTCAGGGACTGGTCACAGGGAGGGCTCAGAGGAGCCTGACTTGAGTGTGTGAAAGGAGAGGGTCTTTGTCATCTTTTAAAGAGGCGAGAGTGATGTATTAGTGAGAAACAGTGAAGGGATCATGCCCAGGCCAGCAGCCCCGAATTTCAGATGAGGACAGGCTGGGTCTAGAAGGGGCTGCAGGAATAGGGGCACCTGGGCCTGCAGAAAGGTGGGAGCCCGGCACTCAGAGCAGGACCCCCTGGGCAGACCTCAGTGTGTCCTGCCCTATGGGAGTGGCAAAGCCAGACCAAGCTGGATGTGAACCAGTCCCAGAACACCACCTAGAATTTGGATTGTAATTTGTTATAGATGATATTTAATTTGTTATAGATGATACTGCGTCTTGGTCTCTCTCCTTCTCTTCCTCCTCGCTACCCCCCCACCACCATCCCGGCCCAAGATGGAGTCTGGCTCTGTCACCCAGGCTGGAGTGTGGTGGCGCGATCTCGGCTCCCTGCAACCTCTGCCTCCCGGGTTCAAACAATTCTCCTGCCTCAGCCTCCCAAATAGCTGGGGTTACAGGTGCGTGCCACCACACCCAGCTAATTTTTGTATTTTTGGTAGAGACAGGGTTTCATCATGTTGGCCAGGCTAGTCTCAAACTCCTGACGTCGTGATCCGCCCACCTCGGCCTCCCAAAATGCTGGGATTACAGGCGTGAGCCACTGCACCCGGCCTCTACAGCACGGCCATTGTGGCTACATCAGTTCCGGCTAATAGAGATTTTAGTGCACTCAGATTCTGTTGGCTAGTAAGAATTAATTATAATTCTGGGGTATTTAACGGTGTCGTTACGCAGTTTTCATTGTTGCAGATGGAGAATGAAATCGGGTGCATGTGACAGTAATGTGACCTGTTCATGCTCCCTCACTTAAACGGAGTTAAGTAACATGGCCCTGGGCAGGAAGACCCGGTCACTGGGGCTCCTTCCCCACTTCTGTCCGGGAGCTCCTTACTCGATTCTGGGGAGCGGAAAGGCTTTCAGCGGTCAAGGGGAGTAACAACAGCAAGAAATAAGACACCTCTCAGAGTCCTTTGGTGTTGCCCTTTCCGGATCCATCAGCCACAGTGTCCACCCCAGGTAGCTGGGTCCTGAGTTCCCCATCTCAGGACACCTTTCGACCTGGTTTGTCTGAGTTATTATTATTATTGATCACTGAGACAGGGTCTCAGTCCATTGCCAAGACTGGAGTGCAATGGTGTGATCATGGCTCACTTGACCTCCCAGGCGCAGGCGATCCTCCCACCTCAGCCTCCTGAGTAGCTGGGACCACAGGCAGGCGCCACCATGCCTGGCTAACTTTTTTGTATTTTTTGTAGAGACCAGGTTTCTCTGTCTTGTCCAGGTTGGTCTCAAACTGCTGCCTCAGCCTCCCAAGGTGCTGGGATTACAGGCATGAGCCACCAAGCTCAGCAATCTGAATTATTTATGCAGAACTCTTTTTTTCTCTACCTGGAAGACCTGTTTATATGCACATTTCTTTGGGGGCAACTCTTCTCCATTGTCACAGATTTTTTTTTTCCAAGCCATTCTCAGGGGGATTCCTGGGAAGCATGTGGAAGAGGCGTGAGGAAGTGACCTTCAGGCGCGCCCTCTGGTCCCTCTACTCAAGTGAGGTGAGGGGAAACTGGTGTATTTTTAGATGAAGTTTCCTTGGGAAATAGTTTCTGTTTTATATTTTATCAATAATCCGTTGGCTAATGTTTTAAACCAATATTTATAAGACTGCCCAAGAGCTTTGGAATAAACAGATTTCCACAATGAAAAGCTGTTTTAAAGTGCTACATTGTAAGAGAGGCTTGGCAAACAAGAAGGGTTGGAGGAAAGACCACCAAGTGAGAGGCACAGGTGTTAGGACAAACAGCCGGAAAACGAGGCAGAGGTGAGCAGGGACCAGCAGCACAGGGGCACTGCCACACCAGGGACTCGGGCTCTGCTGGCCTCCTCCCTCGTGGCCAGCAGTGGCAGTGGTGGGAGTAGGCCTGGCTTGTCTGTGGTTGCCTTTGTTGCTTTAGATGAATGTACTCTAGGCCATTTCTTGTTGCATCGTTTCTGACAGTGGCCGATGGTCACTACCCTCTAATGCCAGGAGGTTCCAACCCCACCCTTCCCTCCGCACTCCCTCTTTCATCTCCCAGATCCTATCAGAGGATTACTTTTATAGCTGATGAAGTATGTATTTAGCCCTGTGACCGTAACTGAATTTCCCCTGGTGCACGTCTGTGTGAAGAGTGTGCACCAGGGCTGAGCCATCTGCTGGGAGAATATGTCCCTCCCTGAGGCCCAGGACCATGACCCCTGAGCCACTCAAAGGAATCATTCCCAGCCTTAAGGTCAGATGTGCTTTTTCCTTGTACTCTATTATTTCTTTAAAAATCCTGCCACATTGAAGTGTATTTGTATTTAAACTAAAATCTTTTATTTCTTAAACTTCTAATTGCTGTTCTTTTATTCTTTTTGGTAGAAGTTTGTCTGGCTGCTGTAACTGACTGGGAAGCTTAAAATAACAGACATTCATCTGTCACATTTCTGGGGACTGGGAAGTCCAAGACCAAGGTGCCATCTGGGGAGGGCCCATGCCTCACAGTGCCCTCCAGCTCAGGCCCCATTTATAAGGGCACTCATCCCATCGTGAGGACCCGACTTACTCACCTCGGAAAGCCCCCACCCCTTAAGACCATCACCTTGTGGGTGAGGATTTCAACACAGGAATTCGGGGGCTGCAAACATTCACACCGTGGCAAAGCATGAGGTGCCGTCCCCCATGCGCTCGGGCTGATCCGGCGTCTCACGCTAGCAGCTACGTGGAATTGTTATTTTTTTCTGGAGAACTCTGTCTGGGACCCCTCTGATGTCTTGGAGCACCTGAACGGGCCGTTCACTGTGCGCGCCGTGAGGCTGTCCTCTGGGGAGTTCTGCTGTTCTCTGGGTTCTGTCTGTGTCGGTGTCCCAGCGGGAATGCCGGGCACTTTAGCGTCATCCCCAGAGGGCTTGGTAAGGGGACTGTTTGCAGAGACATAGGCAGAGTGCTGGAAAACTACCAGAAAAGTGCCGTGTTCTGGGCCTAATAATAGCAGAGCTCTTCTCACCCTGGTCTGAAGGGAAGAGGGAGGAGCAGTTAATGGATTCTGGAAGTCAAGTGGCACAGAGTCACCTCGAAAGATGCCATGACCTTCACTGAGGGCCAGAGAGATACTAAGACGACCCCATAGGAGAATAAGACCTGGACCTCATCCTCCTGCCTCCTGCCAGTCCCTGCCAGGGATCGCCAATGGCAGAACAGGACTGGAAGCCAGAGGCCGTGGAAGCCCATGGATGAAGTCCACAGGCCAGCCTCCCTGAGAGCAGCCTGGACGGTCCACAGGAGACATCTCCTTTCTTAGGCGTCCCAGGCCACCTGCTCCTGTTCGGCCCCGCCGAGGTGGAAGCTTGGAGTGGGTCGCGGTGGGTGCATTGACGCTGCAGACGTCAGCAAGTGCTGCAAACCAGAGCTGGCCTTTAACTCAGAGTGGTGGAGAAGACGTTAATGATGCAGATGAGACTTGAAAGTGTTGAAGCCCTTACGCTGTGAGAGCGAAAAAATTAAGGAAATCTTCAGGCGTTTAAACACAGTGACTCAATTCAGCAGAGAAGTCGCTGACAAACAAGAGCTCACACTGACTGTTTTGTTGTTTTGGTTTGTCTTACTCATTAATGCAAATGAGAACATTCACCGACATTTGCGTAGGGCCTGCCCTCCCTGGTCAAATACGGCTATAGTCTCCCTGCAGATACAGGTTTGCCAGACATGAACAGACGTTTTCTGCGAGAATCAATTGGTCACATACCATTTACAAAAATGAGTACCGTATGCTACATTTGTAAACTGTACGCTGCAGACGCTTTATTTCACTAAAATTTATAATAAACTTATCCATGTACACACATGCATGTGTTTTTGTTCCTGAGATCCAGCTGTGAAATGTTTACCAGCCCATATATTACCAGCACATGCTGCTTTTTACCCACTAGGTAAAATCTTCATTGATTACATCAAATTATTGTAGGTTGTGTATTGCAATTATACAGATATTGACTATTGCAGTATTACTGCAATTATACAGATACCACAGTTTCAAATATTGGTCATCATGTTCAGCTGCTTTCTAAGGAGGTTTACTTACTTCGTGGTACACCTGGTTTGTGTAGTTGGATTATAGTTAACTCTTAGGCTAATTGTGGGAAATCACTGATTTATTCGACAGATGCTGGTGTGGTCTTCCCTGAGCACGTCCTAGCCGAGGACGCTGCCCTCAGGAGATCTGAGAAGTCCTGTGAGGATCACATCGGTATTTTCAAATACTTCTAGAAAGGCCAGAGGGACTGACCCACAATTACCAATTTAAGCTTGACCCTGAGATAACCATGCCATTTTATGTTTGCAGACGTAAAACCAATGCAAGAGGTTGATGACTCCAGATCCCTCATACGAGCCAATACAAAGTAGTTTCATGTTTTATTTCATTTTTAAAAGTGTACCATTAACCTAAAGCCTGCCTGTAAAACTGGTTTGTTTCTGAAGCCTTAGCAGAAAGCTCACTTGCGTTTGGTGAGAAGTCCCTCACGCGTGGCTGCCCTGGCTGGGAGCTCTGAGCTCTGGGAGCCACTGGAACTGCTAATCCCACCAGTGCCGTCTGATTCCCTTTGCTCTGATGGAGGTCCTTTGCCGGTGTATCAAGTGGCATTTTCTGGGCTTGGGAGTCAGTAATTCCCAGTGATCAAGTGTCTCTGCTCTGCAAATGCCTTTCTTTGTGATACGAAGCTGTCAGTCATGGAGACCCACCTTTTTGTAAGTCAGTGAATTTTCTGTCCCCAAGTCACTTTAGAGAGTGAATCTGAACTCTCCAGTCCATCCTAAGAAGACATTAATTGGAGCAGGCGTGGAACCTTCAGCTCTCCCATCACCTGCCGGGTTACTTGGCTTAACCTGGGAATTAGCCAGTTAATAAGGCCGTTGAAATGGGAAGAACAGGAGGCTGCAGTGACTGAGAGTAAAATACAGTCGACGTCACAGTTTCTTTCTCCTCAGCATTCTCTGGGGGCTGGTCCTCAACCGTGGCCACCGGCCCTGGTCTGTCATCATCCTGATAATTTTCCAGAACTCCACCTGCAGCCGCCATCCAGGGCGGCCGTGGCCCGTCTGTACCCTCCCCCCTGCCCTGGTCCCGGACCTTTTCCGCTCCGCACTGCGCTCCGCCAGACCTGAGAGGTTTCTGTAGCAGGAGCTGGACAGTGTTGAACAGGCTTCCAGCCCACACCTCGGTGGGGCACTTTTTTTCATGGGACGTGTGGGGTTGTCTGGGCTGGAGGACGTGGATTTGGGGCACTCCTGAAGGTGGCAGAAGGTTGGCCCTACACAGGACCCAGTGGTCACCTCTGCAAACGCCTGGGCTGGGCTGTTCGCTGCCTCAGAGGCCTCCCTCCCCCGGAACAGAGGTGGCGAAATCAGCCTGGAGAGCCTCACGGTGCAGGAGGGATTTGCCGGAGCTGTCTCTGAATAGAGCCCCCTGCAAACACAGGAGCTGTTTTCCGGGAGTGGATTTGGCTTGCAGGGTCCTAGAACACCTGCAGACGTCAGAGGGGGAGACCGCAGATGAAGATCTCCCGGAAGGCAACCAGTGGCCATCCCACAAGCCAAGGGGCCGTGGCCAGCCTCCTTTTGGGACACAGTCGGGCCTGGAGGGAGGGAGGGGACAGGGGCCTTTCTGATTCTTCTTTTACCTTTTCCCTTGGAATGAAAAAACAGCCTCTACAGGCTCCCATTCGCGTCCCTCAGCAGCTGAAGGAGCGCTTCGCCTCTTCCCCACCGACTCTGCACCCTCCACAGGGATGCAACGGAAGAAAGAAACGTTACTGGAGACGTTACCAAGACCTGTCACTTGCTGTCCTGTCTTTCTCAAGCCGTAAACATGACAGAAGACTCATCGTTAGATTATTACGAGCGACGGACCAGCTTATGCATTTCAGTGAAAGCGAGGCTATCACCGAGATCCCGGGCTTGATGCTTTCTAAGCCAACTGCTTAATTGTTGTGGCACAAACGGTCTGGAAGGATTGCCTGGCCTCTTCCAGTAAATGTTAGCCCAAGGGCATGGATTTTCTGGGCAGTGCTTCGTTTCTTTTTCCTTCATATATGTGGCCAGGCCTCAGGGCCTGCGGACCTGCCTGCTGTGCAGGGCATCTTGTCTTTGGGGGCCGTGGTTGCTTCTGGCAGGTGCCAGCCTGGGGCTGAGGTCTCCCCACGTGGAGCTCAGGGCCTCAGAGGCCAATGGCACATCCCTCAGAGAGCCTGGAAATGGAAGGCCCAGCTGGGTTTACGGCACACCTGGGCCGGGCTGTAGTGGCTCCTGGTCACAGCCTGTCCACACAGAGTGACATTCCAGAGAACAGGCAGAGGCTTAGGCTCAGGCAGACACTAATTCACATCCGACGGGCAGAGCACCTGTTGGGTGACCATGGCAGGCTGCCTCCTTTTTATCTGCAAAGCTGGGGCGAGGATGCCCACCTCCAGGGGCTCCTGCAAGGCACATGTGAGACGCTGCAGGGGAAGAGCCTCTTACAAACCCGGCCAGATGGCAGCCGCACCGTCCCTCTGCCAGGTGTCCCTGGAGACGCCTGCCTACCCAGGTCTGTTTCTGTTCACATCTCCGTGTGACAAGCAGCCTGGAAGGGCCATGCTCGAAAGGCTTGGGCCAGGAGCTCTTACGTGGCGAGCACAGACCGCGGTTTCCCAGACACCAGCAGGGGAGGGACGGATGTGGTGCCATGCTGTGCGACTGACTTGTCTGCAACTGATACGATGGGAATAATATTCCACTTCAGTTCACAGGGTTGGGGGCAACGGTGACAAGCTAGGGAATGTTGAGAGACCAAAGATACCTGTTGTGGATTTTACTGGGCCATGAGAGCTGCCTCTTGGACATGCAGAGTCGACGTCCTCAGCCACTCTCTCCTGAAACAGCGGCCTGGGGACCGGCAGCCACGGCGAACCCTGGGACATCACAGAGGGAGCTGACGTGGGCCGTGAGACGCTGCACTGCGGGAGCTGCTGTGTCATCACTGGGGCACTTGGCAGTGGTGTTCGGCGTATTCTCTGTGATTATGTTCAGCTGCCTCAGCAGAAACCCAAATCGCGGTGGGTAAAACAAGACGGGGCGCGTCGTCTTCCAGGCACAGGAAACGTGGTGGCTGGCACTTGCAGCCAGCGTGAAGCTCGCAGTGGGTAAAACAAGACAGAGTGTGTCGTCTTCCATGCACAAGAAACATGGCGGCTGGCACTTGCAGCCAGCGTGAAGCTCGCAGGGGCTCCAGGACCAGGAGCTCTTCTGCTTCTGGGCCGCACATCCCTGCTCACAGCTTCCACACTTCCGGCCGGTGTGGCTGCTGGACCTCCAGCCTTCTCATCACCTCATGTGCGCGGAGGCTTCCGGGAGCTCTGGGCCGGTATTCCCGCATGCATGTCACTGACCCTAACGCGCTTACCCACGTGCACCGAGCAAAGCTGGAGCAGGTGGAGAAGGGCCTGGCAGTGCAGAGACCCCAGGATTTCCAGACAGGGTAGCTGTGGCCACGGCAGGGAGGTGCAGTGCTGGCGGGAGGTAGTCGATGGCTGTTGCCTTTTGCCACTTCTGAGCCCAGCCACCAAATTGGTCCATATCTCTTAGAAAATTCTGTGACACTGCGGATTCATTGACATTCCCAGTCATAACGGCTTCCCTCCTCCCACTAGACCACCTTCCCTCGCCAGCCCCCTTTTGGTAACATAAATACAGCTGCTGTGTGCATCGGATCCAGTAGGCGTGGATCCAGTTAAACCTACTTTGTTTCACTTTTCTTCAGGAAGAGCCTATGAAATATGAGTTTTGGTGTGAAGGTTTTTATCATCAGCGCCGTTCCCTTCCAGCAGACCTTTCAGGTCTCAGCAGCAGCCCTTCTTTCTGGGGCGGGAACTGAGCTGGTCTGTTGGGTGCCCCACCTTGTTCCAAATGGGTCTGTCCCTGGGAGAAAGGCATGTGATACGAAGCAAAGCTGCACAAACCTGTGGGAATCCGGGTGAGGGAAGTAGAGGTAGATGAACCCTGCGGCCCTAGGTAGCAACTACAGAATGAAGTCAGTTAGTTCCCGTCCAGGCACCAGCGTGGGCCACACGTTTGCCGGTAGCTTCTAGAGACCAGCGCAAAAAGGCAACTGAGGTCTGTGATGTCCCAGAGTGAACGTGACACAGTGCAGAGGACACTTGGGCCTGAGCCCCCTGCCACCAAGGAAGAGGAAGAGGACATTGAAGAAGGCATGGGTGCCACCGGTCCACGGCACACACATCCCTTCTACAAACACTGACCCTCCCGGGCCCGGCGGGTCCCAAACACCGACTGTAACACTGACCCTGTCAGGCCCAGCGGGTCCCAAACACTGACTCTCAACACTGATCCACCCGGGCCCGGCGGGTCCCGAACACCAACCCTAACACTGACCCTCCCCGGGCCTGGCGGGTCCCGAACACCGACTGTAACGCTGACCCTCCCGGGCCCGGCGGGTCCCGAACACCGACTGTAACACTGACCCTCCCGGGCCCGGCGGGTCCCAAACACTGACTCTAACACTGACACTCCCGGGCCCGAACACCGACTGTAACACTGACACTCCCGGGCCCGGCGGGTCCCAAACACCAATTCCAACACTGACCCTCCCGGGCCCGGCGGGTCCCGAACACCGACTGTAACACTGACCCTCCCAGGCCCGGCGGGTCCCAAACACCGACTCTTAACACTGACTCTCCCGGGCCCAGTGGATCCCAAACACTGAGGCTGACACACTGCCCTGTGCACACCTGCCTGGAGCCAGTGGAGAGACCCAGGGAGGGACAACGTCTTCTCCAGCATCTCCCCAGC